TCACTGCTGGACCACGACAGTTAGTAACCTACTAGTAAATAACTTAGATGTGAATGTAGACCGTCCGATTAGGAAGTTTGCAGATGACATAAAGGTTAGGGAGCAACAAACAGTAAAGTGTACTGCCAGCGAAAGAGCAGAATGCAAATAGGCAGGAGACTTAGGCAGAGAAAAGGCATTTACAATTTACTCGGACCAAATGCGCGGTAATGTTTTTTTGGAAGGCCTGCGGCAGAACGTTTAGAAACATTAACATACAGAGGATTCTCGGCATATACGTTGACAGTTCCCTGCAATTGGCAACACAAGTGGGTAAAGTGTTCAAGAAGACATATGTCATACTTGCCTTCATCACTCGAGCCATAGACTATGAAAGTTGGCGAGTCATGTTCCAGATGTGAAGAAATTTTGTTCGGCTACTTCTGGAATATTTCAGACAGTTCTGGTTGTTACAATACCAGAAAGATGTAGAAGGTTTGAAAGGAGTACAGAAAAGGTTGACCAGGATATTGATAAGGGTCATAGAAGGGTCAGTACTGAGGGAATGTTACATTGTCAGAAGGGAAGTATAATGTGTTTAGTAAACTCATTGGGTCAGCACTGAGGAACTAGCACACCGTCTGATCATCCACCAAATGGGAGTGCTGGACTACTAGAGAGCCAATACGGTATTTTCAGATGATCTGTACTGAGACATCTTTAGAGGTGTCTTCTTTTGGAGGGATTATTCAACTATGATCCGGCTGCACTCTCACAATGATGCAAACTCTACCTTATGATTTTGTTGATGATGCGCAGAAGAGGTAATCCTTATATCACGGCCATTAATTATCAGCATCACACAACCTGATTATTTGATTATTAATACAATGTTGCTTCCTCGAGTTTCTCTAGTACAAATCAGCCATATATGTCCAATTACACACAGCAGTGTCCACATTATAAAAGTATTTGTCTGGCTCTAAAATTGTGAGGAAGTTGTGTGGCCTTGAAAGACGATATACAATTCGCAGTATTTTATTTTTGTTTCCCATGGCATTTTCTTCAACATTGTTCTCCTTGTTTAAAGTTTTCCTGTATTTGCAACAAACGTGTCAAGTTTATTGATTCTCTTAATTGTTAATTCCTTGTTTTGCTATTTTAATTATCCTCTCTCATGCTTTTTGCTTTACTCTAAACTGGCACATGAGAACGTTTGTGTTGTATCAGATGTTAGACTCATTTCAGTGTGAACATGATCTTTCTTTCAGAGACGTGCTGACCCTTTGGATACTTTTTTTAACATAACACCACTGTAAAGTTTTGCTACCGGTTTTTCAGTTAGTGCTAATACTTCTCAAAACATTGATGTTGCACCACATGCGTAATCTCTTCAAGAGAAATGATGGATGTCACCATCACCATGGATACCTGTCCTGCTTCGTAACTTCCTTCAAGATTGGACAAAACTTGATTGTGGTAGTAAGATGGTTGATTTTTAAATATCCTCTGAGCAATTAGGGATGAGCAATAAATGTTGGCCTAGCCAGCAACGCATTCATCCTGTGAATAAATAAATAAATAAATAAATAAAATCACATGGTTAGCATTTGAGCTGAAAACCGTATTGGGCAGAAAAGATACATTAACATTTATGCCTATTCCTGTTTCATTTCCCTGAAATTTTCTGAGAACTCAACTAATCATGGCACGAAAAAAGATACCAACAATGAGATTTTTTAGAACGAAATGCTTCCAAAAGTGACAGCAGATAAGAGAGTTGAAGAGCTGATTAAACAATTGACGGAAAGAAAGATTAGATTGGGAATAAGAATCAGAAGTCACACGGCATCAGGTTTTGTTCAACAGGTTTATTTGAAATCGCAAGCTTTTTGAGCGCTGCTCCTTCGTCAGGTGAAGTGGAGGTAAGTGCACAGACACAGAATATATAAACAGACAGATAATGGCAAGATAATACCTGGTAATTAAGAGTGTCTCAACAGGTAAGTACAAATAGTGTGAGTGAAGTGTCGACAGGCTGAATAACAAGTCTTTACAGGTGATCAAAAGTGTCAAACGGTATGAGTAAATTGTCAACAGCTGAATAGCAAGTGAAGGGATGTCCTATGAACCGATTAATTAAGGCAGACATAATTACAAAAAAAAATCAAAAATAAGATGGTGTTAGGGACAAATCAAATGCCTGGAATAACACAATAGGTATCAGAGTCGCACGACGAGGGTCTAACCAAAGTAACAAGTAATCAGAAACTCTACAAACTAATAACGGTAGAGATATAATGACACATTATCAAGGTAATGATCTCAAAACAGGGCAGTATGAAAAATTTTACAAACAGCAAATAAGAGCATAAATTACATTTTGATATGTTCAAATGTAGTTCGAGAAAATATAAAACTCAGGGTTGAATTGCAAAGTCACAAAAGTCTTTAAACTGACAAAGGTTTTTTTTTGTTTTCAACATAATTTCACTTGTTAGAGTGATAATGACTGTGCGATATAAATACAAGACAGTGACATTTTCTGATCGTGTTCACAATGTGAATTAACAATGTGTAAAGCCCATATGACTGTTAGAACGTGGAACTGTTGTCATGCAGGCTAATGGACTTGTCTAAAATAGATGGAATGAGTAGTGGACTAGATTAAATATATGTGAGAGAAGGGCAAATCTGGTGTGCTGACTGGGCTATGTATGTGCATGCCTCTGTCTGAATCCTTCAAAAAGAAAGGAATTATTTTCGGGGAGCTAAGCAGAGGTTGCAGACAAAATGAGCTTGAGAGAATGCTCCCTGGATGCTCTGACACCGCCAACAATCATACTCATATCCACAAAGTTTTCCTATTTTACAATGATTTGCATGTTTAAATTCTGGCTGGGGGGAGAAAGACCTGAAAGGAAGCACCTCACAAAGAATCAGTCAACTCCTTCACCTTACTCTACACCAATTTGTGCTTAGTATAGAAGCAAAGGAATCTTTGAATGTCATCATGCAGGTGAGGCAGTCAATTGCTTTGATGCTTTCTGATAAAATTAAAACAGGAAAATAAAGAAGTAAAGAACAACAAATCCCTGCACTTTAATGTTAAACTGCACTGGTTAAAAATAAAGAAAAACAGCTACCAATATCGTGGATGCAAAAAACAAATTGAAAATTTAAATGTATAAAATTGTTCTCATAATGACGCAATGTCTCATTGTATAACTTTTAATATAGTCTTTTAATACCAATGAGACCTTTTTCTACATCATTTACGAACTTGGTGCAGCAAAAAAAAAGAGTTAACAGAACAGTCTGTTGACTTGTCCAACAGTGCCTATCAATGTCATTTCTGGGCATTTACTTTCTTAAATGGAAGCCACCATTGAATGGCATATATTAAGTGGAATAGCCTTTACTAAGAAAACATGACTCAATAAAAACGAAACAAGCAATTTTCATCAGAAGGGGCCACAATATTGAAGCATCAGTGTGGCAATTTCATACTGAGTCTATTGTCTCTTTACATAGAATCATAGAATGATGCAGTACCGACCAAGACGATTTGTCCTCATGCCTCAGTCGTCAACTCGAAGAAAAATGTCAATTTGACCCCATTCCCCTTGTCTTCGTACATGGTATAACATTTTCCTTTATTCTCATCTATAAAACTCGACCAAAATGCAATGCCCAGTTTTGTTTGGATTTCATTCCAGGCACTAACTCTGAGAAAATTTCCTGCAGCAAACTTCAGGAAACTAACATGCTGGAATGTCAGTATTAAACGAGCAATCATCAGCTTTTTTTTTCTGAGGAAGTGCCACTGGGCCGGAAACGTTAGCCGTTTTCTCTCTACGCATGCTGCCAGACCCGTTGAGGTTTTTTTTCCTGCAATTTCTGTTCTTGCTTCTGCTTATTGCTTATGAGACTTTTAATCAATGTAATATTACTTACTTAGATATTCACCAAATACATGATGGGGATATTTGGCACTTTTGCAGCATCAGCTTCAGTATAGATTTGTTAAATCATGCCATTCAATTTCAATTCAACGCAGCAATGAAGGCATCAGAGAAATGAAAACGCGTTGCTCTCGCTTTCTTCACAGTGCTGTCCTTATAAAACATGAAAGCTATGTGATCAGAGAGATGAAGAAATTGTAGCTGGTGATAAGCAGTCATTGATATATTTGTGGTTTTATGTTCATTTACACAAACGTGCAAATATCAACTCAGGGCTGCTTAATGGACGCATAGTCCATCTTTTGAAAGTGTTTACACCCTTGCTGTGCAGGCAGGATTCCTGCAGAAGCTATCACGTTTCCAGGAAAGCACTGCGACAAGCTATCATTCTACATCAATGCAAGATCGACTGGCCTTGGCTGCCAGTGGCATGCCCGACAGCCATGCTCATTCAGACGTTCCCTCTTGAACGAAAAACACAAGGATAGTGACCCCATGAATGACATCAATATGAAATGATTTAATTTCAGCTTTCTCCCAAGTTCCGGGGGTTGGAGCTCTGCTTACTGAGAGATTATTGGATTGCAGCCCTCGTGTTGTTTCCTTTTTTGTGTGAGGGTGAGTTATTACCGATATATCTGGTCTTCATTAAGTGCCCGCCGGTCACTCGAATTGAATTAGGTTCAGTGATTAATTGCTTTCGATACATAAATTCTAACAATAAAAAATAACAAACGTTGGCCACTGTTAACAACTGAAAACTAAAAGGAAACATTTGTGATTCAGATAGGCGTCTTCGACCAATACAGCTAAGTTAATACATGTAATTAACTTTCACTTTATAATCACTTTACAGTTAATGGCTGGTGAGGTCATTTCGATTTAAACCCGGGCACTCGGAAAGATCTTGATGTCAATAAAAGTCGATTGCTCTGTTTGTTCTTCCCTGTAAGAAATCAATTAACGGTCTGAAATTGAAAAAAAGTTTTCTGACCTTTTTTGTTTAATTTCTAAATTGATGTCTTGTCAACGCTAACTACACACCAAAGTCGAATAATGGAAAATGGGACAGAGACAAACGAATCTCTCAGTAACATAGCGGGTTTGCTGGATACTGGAAGAAGCAATTCTTACAAAACGCTTGAAGTGTTCTTCATTGTGATTGTGACAGGATCATTAAGCTTGTTGACCATAATTGGAAACACTCTGGTCATAGTTTCTATCAAAGTCAACAGACAACTACAAACTATTAATAACTACTTTATTTGCAGCTTAGCCTGCGCTGATCTGATTGTCGGTGTATTCTCCATGAATCTATACACTATTTACGTTGTAATTCGCTACTGGCCTATGGGCCCAGTGGTATGTGATTTATGGCTTGCAGTAGATTATCTTGTCAGCAATGCCTCCGCCATGAACCTTCTTGTGATCAGCCTTGACCGCTACTTCTGTGTGACCAAACCCCTTAGCTACCCCTTGAGGAGAACAACCAAGAGGGCAGTGATGATGATTGCAGCTGCATGGACTGTACCATTTATTGTGTTCGCTCCTCCCATCCTCTTCTGGCAGATCATCACAGGGAAACGGAACGTTAGTGACGGCGATTGCTACGTGCAGTTCCTCTCAAACCCTACTGTTACTTTTGGCACTACGATAGTCGCCTTCTATCTCCCTGTTACTATCATGGTGATCTTATACGTGCGCATATCTCGCGCCAGCAAGAGTCGAATAAAAGAGGAGAAGAGAATGAAAGAGTCAAAAGAGAGCAATGTTTGTCCTAGTCTAGTGAAGGATAAAATGATAAAATTGGATGGTAATGGCATACCCAACGTTACTCACGGTGAACCGCCTGTTAAAAAGCAAAATGGCGAAATGACAAATTCTACTCATGCCCAAGGGAAGGAGCAAGATTCATTCAATGAAATAAGTTCCTTCAGTGGGTTTCCACCAAACCAGAAGAAAGAAGGAACGATTCCAGAGAGCACAAGCGTTCCAAGTGAACAAAGCTGTCTCAGAACGGAAATATGCAAACTCATTTGGTTTAAATTAGTCCGCAAATCTGAAAACTGCAACAACAGTTCCACTAAAACAGCAATAATTCCAACTATCAGCAGCGAGAATGGGGCAGACAGGGACATTACAGCTGTTGATAAAACAAATATCATGACCAAGACTGCTGCTAAGAGGAAGGTAATTGGAACTCGAGAAGTGAGGGTCACTCAAACCATATTTTCGATTCTCCTAGCTTTTATTATAACCTGGACCCCATACCATGTTATCGTGTTCATTAAAACGTTTTGTTCAATCTGTGTCCCCAGTGAAGTTTGGACTATTGGATACTGGCTCTGTTACATTAACAGTACTGTCAACCCAGCCTGCTACGCACTCTGTAATACCAATTTCAAGAAAACTTTCAAATATCTTCTCTTGTGTCAGTACAGAAATGTTGGTTCAACAAAATGAATACATCAAATAACCACTACTTTGAGAACATATAGTGACTTTCATCACGAACGTCCACAAATGGCAATAAGGGATGAGTTTTTTTGTGCCAGATTATGGACCAAATAGACAGTTGTTATGTATAATATTGGAAGCGCATCGAATCATAACCTCGTAATTTGCAAAGCATGCTAATTTTTTTTAAAAAAACAGTATATTAGCATGAATTTATGAAAGGACTGGAAGATATTTTTTCAGCATTATTAAATGCAGTATATGAATATTTATCAAGAAATGTTCCTGCTTTTATAATCGTGCTTAATGTAATGTGATCTCTATGGATTTCAGGAAGGCGTTGGACAAGGTCCCTCAAGGCAGACTGGTTAGCAAGTTTGGATCACATGGAATATAGGGAGAACCAGCTACTTGGATATAGACCTGGCTCAAAAGTAGAAGACAGAGAGTGGTGGTGGAGGGTTGCTTTTCAGACTGGAGGCCTGTGACCAGAGGTGTGCTACAACGATCAGTGCTGGGTCCACTGCTTTGTGTTATTTAAGTAGATGGTTTGGATATGAACATAGGAGGTATGGTTAGTAAGTTTGCAGATGACACCAAAATTGGAGTTGTAGCTGACAGCAAAGAACGTTACTCAGAGTACAACGGGATCTTGATCAGATCAGCCAATGGGCTGAAGATTGGCAGATGGAGCTTCATTTAGACAAATGTGAGGTGTTGCATTCTGGAAAGCCAAATCAGGGCAGGACTTATACACTTAATGGAAAGGTCCAGGGGAGTGTTGCTGAACAATGATACCTTAGAGTGCAGGTTCATAGTTCCTTGAAAGTGAAGTCGCAGACAGATAAGATAGTGAAGAAGACGTTTGGTATGCTTGCCTTTATTGGTCAGTGCATTAGGTATAGGAGTTCGGAGGTCATGTTGCGGCTGTACAGGACATTCGTTCGGCCACTTTTCGAGTATTGCGTGCATTTCTCGTCTCTATCCTACAGGAAAGATGTTGTGACAATTGAACTCGTTCAGAAAATATTTACAAAGATGTTTCCAGGTTTGCAGCTATAAGGAGAGACTGAATAGACTTGTGCTATTTTCCCTGGAGCATCGGAGGCTGAGAGGTGACCTTATATATAAAATCATGAGGGACTTGGATAGGGTAAATAGCCAAGGCCTTTACCCCTGATGGGGGAGTCTAAACCTAAGTGGCATAGGTTCAAGTTGAGAGGGGAAAGATATAATAGGGATCCAAGGGACAACATTTTCACGCAGATGGTGGTGCATGTATGGAATGAGCTTCCAGGGAAAGTGGTGGAGGCTGGTACAATTACAACATTTAAAAGGCACCTGGATGTATACATGAATAGGAAGGGTTTAGAGCGATATGGGCCAAATGCTGGCAAATGGAACTACATTTATATAGGATATCTGATCGGCATAGACGAGTTGGACTGAAGGGTTTGTTTCTGGGCTGAATATCTTGATGACTCTATGACTCTACTAAATGTACTAACTAGGCTGCAGTATACAATTTAATTAAGTCAACCGGCTGAATTAACTGGTTTACCAGCAGATTAATTCCAACAGCAGATATAATCACTGTCATGGCTGTGGAAGACTCGATCTTTATCTCGGGACATCACTGGTGGTCAAATCAAGGCTCGTCAAGTAATGAACAATTACCTGCCTTCAATTGGAGAACTGAAGAACAAGCAAACAATTTGATGTAAGGAGCAGAAATTTAAGTAAATATATGAGGAAAAGCGTTTCACCCCGAGGGTGTTAAGCATTTGGATGTTAAGTTTGGTAGAGGCAGAAGCCCTTATAACATTGAAGATGTGGCTTTAAGAGATGTGTTTTGTCCAGGTTTCATTTAGAGAGAGATTAGAGGAGGGGTGGACGGGAGGGGGAGCGGAGTATTTGGGGGTGTGGTGTGGCCCTGAGCAGTCTTTGAGAAGATAAACAGCTTGTGAAGTCTTGGGTGTATTTTTTTAAAATTATGGAACCATAGAAACAGCCTGAAGGTTTGTGATCAAACTCCCACAGAACCAGAATCTTTAGTTTATCGTTCAGCAGTTGATTTGGGGTTCTTGAAGAAGTCAAAGCTATTTTTCTCTCTTTTGGTTACAGCCACAAGCTGGGGGTCCTCTGTCTGCTACAGGAGTTGCAAGTGAGACAATCTGTTCTGATTTTATCTTTTTCCAAAGGTGAGTTTCTGGGATGTTGCAATATTGGAATAGTTAATGAGTAGTAGTTACTGTGTCTATTACTCTGTTATGTTTTCGAATCAAGTTACTCTGATTTCTTGCTTTTTATCGTATTTTAACCGTAATGAATGAATAAGGTGTGTTTTCCTTTAAAGCCGGTAGTTTGACCAATCAAATTACATCTGGAACACAACGCCTTACAATTACCCCTGAAACAGGTAAAATGTCATGTTCTAAACCATCTTTTTAATGTGTTTTGAGGAGGTTTGGTCTGGTCCATGACGAGTATTTAGATGTACACTCACCATGCCAAGTCATACAAGACTCTGGGTTCAGTGCTGGAAATAGGATTGCAATGAAAAGGTTGTTGTTTTTAATGGCATGGACGTGATGGGCTGAAGGGCCTTTGTCTGTGCTGTAAATCTCTATGATTCTAAGTGCTGTTTAATTGTCCAGTTTCTGCAAACTATACATTGTGCATTTTACTTCTAGTCCATGTAGCCTCTGTTACATTTTTTTTAGCTATTCCTTATAGACATTTCAGATACTGGCTCATTTTGCTTTTATTTCGCAAGACACACTGGAAGAAAGAAAATGGATATATCTTTTACTTTAGACTGCAAACTGTTCTCTTGATATTTTTGAATAATTCTTTCTTATCTAGAACATACTAATGTGCGTGCATCAATCTAGTTAGTGTAAGAAGTTGTGGACCTATATCTCTGTTGCATAAATTACTTGGAAGTTAAATAAACCTCATTAAGGATTAAATAATCAGAACTTAAAAAAAAAACCCTAAGTATCTTATCCCAAGACTGATTTACCAACCAATAGCAGTTTCTCACCCAGATTTTCAGGTATCTGTGGATAGTACTTGATCACTTTTGGCACAAATAAAATATTTGACTGATAATTCTCCAGAGAAACGAACATAAATTCATACACTTATGTTTAGTAACCGGATAGTATAATACACCACTGTATGTGGATCTTTGGCTCCTCCTTCTCAAAATCGCTATCTGCGCATCTCAGCAAAGAAGAGCGCAAAACACTTTTCAAAACAATTCATCTGTCATTGAGCGCTTTCATTCTTGACAGGTGCTCGCCATTACATTGGAAGACATTTCAACTGCCCAACGCATCACTCACCATCACTTTCCACTCACTGCTGTGGGCCTGCACCTTAAAGTGTAAAACTCAGCACATTTCACCTCTGCTGGAAAGCAGACCCCTCACCATACAACTGCATCAGACAGGAAAGGTGTAAGGACAGAAGAAGCGTTAGTTTCCCTCTCCACAGCATAGAGAGGGCGCACAATAAGAAAGAGGGTGGCCAGTAATAAATGGTGTGTTTGCAGAAGGTAGGTTCCTGCAACATCTGTGAACAGCAAGGTTTCATGAGGCTCAGGATCTTACAGCAGGTTTTGCCTGAAATCTGCCATCTTCTAAAGAAAGCCTAGTGGGCCAGGTGGAGTGTATTGGTAGTGGTCCACAAAGTCTCAGTAACAAAATAGAGTCACCTTATGGTGCCTTCTTCTCAACGAGTCACATTATCTCTACTGATGCAGGATAAGAAACAGAAACTGCTGATCCCAGATAATAGTTTGTGTGAATGGAAGGGAAAAAAAGCATCGGCGGATGGTAGCTTTTAGGCATGAGTGTTAGAAAATATTATATTTAGTGTGGGTTTTGTCTGGGGTATCTGGTAACAGAGGAGTAACTGGAACTGCAGTGTGAGTTTTGCCTCCTAAAGGCCGACGCTTGTCTGGTCCTGGATACTTTTCATGCACTTTATCAGGTTGAGGAGATACACTTCAAACTCCTTTCACTCTGTGTCACTTCCATACGCAGCGGCTTGGATGGATAGACAATTGTATTCCTCCTGTTTGTTAGAATTCACCTCGGAGCAATTCCTCAGATTATGTGGTATAACCTCTATCCAAGAAAGTAACCTTCAGACTTTTCCAGATCTTTGTTCCATTTCTGTCATTGGAGTGCCTGAGATGTTCCCTTTGTGACCCGCTCCATTATGTTTCTTCTCATTGAGAACGGCTCCATTCTCCATTCCATTTCTGCTATGGGACGCAACGAAATTAAAATCCAGAACTGCTTCAAGGTAAAACCCAATTGCTGCAAATAACCTAATAGGATAAAGTTGTCTTTTTTTTTGAAAATTTGGAAGAATTTCTATTGGCACGATGTCAATAACCAAAAACACAAATTTTAGATGATTGTTTAAAAAAATCAAACCAAGCAAAATTGAGAAATATTACTTTTACACAACGGTTTGTTAAGATCTGAAATGCATTACCTGAAAAGGCAATGGAAACAATTGAATCGTAATTTCAGAAGGGAAATGCAACACATATTTAAATAAATATTGTAGGGATAAGGGGAGAGAGCAGATAGAGTGGAGTTCAAATCAAAGCCATTTCAAAGAGATGATTCGGCACTGATGTGGAGAAAAGTAGCCTTGTGAGATTTTCTGTTTCTTGAAGAGAGATAGCATGGACTGGGGTTGTTTTCCTCGGAGCAGAGGATACTAAGGGCGGGGCGCAGGACTTTGACATGCCCGAGCGATCAATGACCACGAGCCACGGATTGAAGGTAATGGGCAGAACATTTGGAGAAAACGTGAAGAAAAATGTTTCACCGAAATAGTGGTGGGAATCTGGAACTCACTGCCTTTCAGGGTGATAGAAGCAGGAATATTCGTTAAATTTAAGAAGTATTTAGATGGGCACTCGGAATGCCAAGGTATACAGGGCTATGAGCTAAGATTTGGAAAACAGAATTAGAATAATT